ATAGTAATTTATCTTGCTTCTGTAACTTTCTCTCTGACTGAACCTCTTGATCTCTACTTTGAGGTTGACTTCACTTACCGCTGGCCATTGGTCGAAATTTACTGTTCCGTATCCAGATTTGCGACAGGTCTCCTTGTATTCAATTTAACAAGTCCTCGACTGACACATATTGCTACACAATGCTTTGAATGCAGTGAATTGATATTTGTTAGAAACAACATCATATTATATTTCCTAGGCGATTGCGTGCCTATTAAACAAAAGGCAATTACGGATAATTTGGAGAAACAGAAAGGAAACGAAGTGGAAATGCCCTCCTGTTTAAGAGGAAAAACGTAAGCAATAATTGAATATGTTTTGCTTTCTGATACAAACGAATTTTGCTGGGAATCATTAAGTAATTACAGCGGAGAATGACGATAGATGGAAGTATATTGCCTTTATACAGAAATGCAATACATCTTTGGCGAAGAAACGAGAGACAAAAAACCTGCTGACGATAATCAAGCATCATCGAAATATGTCCATAAAATTAAAAAATGAAATTTCTGTCGCATGAAATAAAAAAAAAAAAACAATCAGACGTTAATATTACGTTTCTCCACAAAATTAAAATCATGTTTATGCGTAAAATGTTTGGTTGAATCGAAATTTATATATGAAAACAAATATAAAATCATCGTTTTTATATTTAGTAATACACACTGAAAATTCCTAGTAGGAACGAACCACTCAAAAAATTCCTACTGACAATATAATAACTCTAGCAGAGTTCGACATTTTATGAAATTTCTCGCTAATTGCTTACCAAGACATCAAGTATTACCAACAATTGCTTATCAATTGCTAGTCTATATATTCTTGTGATATTAAAACATTAATCTCAGCACATGTATAAGCCATATATAAAAGAATATAATGTTAATATTGTACAAACGCCATCAATATTTTACGCAATCTTTGTCAATATTCACAGACATTGTTTTATATTAATTGTTATGAGTAGGTGAGAAAGTCAATGTAAAATAATATTTTAATTCTCCTGATACGTATTTTAACTAATCTATATCTAATAAGGATTCGGGTAAACGGGACAACGTACCATTTGGCACTCAACAAGACTTAATTAATCGACATAATATGAACATAAGAAAAGAGGCAACATTGAATTCTGTAATGTCTAACCCATGACTGTATTCTAATTTTACACTCATACGTGGATACAACAAATAACGTTAGGCGTTCAGACCTTTTAATTTGATGGTGATCAAAAATAGTCTAAAATCTTACTATATCAAGTGAAGTTAAAATACGGAGGACGCTAAGTGATGAAAGTTTCTGGCTTGTTAAATGAAATTGAATTAATGTTGTCTTTTTCTTATTGTTTTTCTCTGATGAAATAAAAAATAGTTGATAATTGTATGTTTATTTTATTTTGTTCATATAATTAATTTATTATTTAAAGACAATGTCTTAAACATTTTCTTAACTTTTTTAAGGACATACTTAAAGATAATAGTTTTAACAATTTTCAAGTCAGCAGCAGTCAATTACTGATGAAATTAATTTATTCATTCCGGTACATACTTGAAGTCTTCATGTTTTTCCTTCAGTGTCATTGATTGGTGTTATGTGTCAAAAAATACGCTTAGAGCTGTAAATAAATAGGTTCCATTAATTTGCATCACAGTCCTGAATACCAAGTCGTTGCAAAAATCCATTTGTCAACGTTACAATATACAAATTGGTTGGTTTGATTGAAGCAAGAGACAAATTTAGTATCGCTCTAGCGTTAAAATGTAAATTTTGTTGATTATGTACTAAGATGTTTCTTCATTAATCTTGGAGATAAACATTCCACTAATTATTTTGATAAGCACAAATCCCTAATTAATTCACTCAGGTCTTTACGTAACGGGTCAGATTATAATCCCTATAAATCACTGTCATTGTCATTTTCACCCATGTCAAAGATATCATTCTCATCATCATGGTTCCATTCTTTAATGTCACAGTGCGTAAAGCATTCGAAGACTATAATTTGGAGTTTGGTACAGTTCTTGTAACTGAATTTATATGTGATAGTTCAAAGATATTCATTACTTCTTGTTGAGGAGAGCAATGTCAGTTAAGCAGAAGTAACAGTGGTCGACGTAATTTTGTGCTTCGTGCTAAATCATCGGAATGTTGAACTTAAGTGAAGTTCAAATACATCTAATCCACTGGTGTAAGTGCTTCTGACATGTTCTGCAGACAATATGTAGTGCCCTTTACTCGTGCTGATTGCCCAGCGTCTCTTCAGAGGAAGCTGGATAAACTTTTTTTTCAAACTCATAGATAGTTTTCCTGTTATTCGTTATTGCAAACTCGCGATATATATAATAGAAGAAATAAGGATATTTTTGTGTCATCTGCTCGAAATCATTGGCTTTTATTTGAGTAGTAACATCAATGCACATTTTCATGTATTATAAAAATGGTCAGGTTATGGTAAAATCCAATGAATGGATTTCCATTTTATAGAGCCATCGTTTATTGTTATATGAGAGAAATTTTCCTTAATAAAGATTGATTACAGTTTATTATTATTGTGTATTTCAATTTTCTAATCATAAAACCGTGAATTTCCTCGATTAAAATAAAGCATAATGGTGTTTTGCAAAAATGACTAAAGAAAAAATATATTGAAAATATGGGCGTCATTTATTGATTCGCCGCCTTCAAATTAGCCAAGAAAGTGTCCTTTGATCCTTACAGCAAATAATGAGTTGACCAGAGTAATATATCTAACATTCACATATTTTTATATTTTATATTAATGTTTTTATTCTGATAATAAGATAGAACTTTTCTATATATGAAGAACTAATTGTATAGTATTGTATTAGCAAGGCATTCCTTATATAATTGTCTTCATCGGAATACATTGTTTAAATATTTTGTTAATCCATATAGTGTAGATCTGAATCCAAGTTTGAATACCAGTCGGATCAATTACATTCACATAAGGGATAAAACACTTGGGTAAGCTATGAATCCTCTTCTTCTCCATCTATTGGCAAATAGCAGAGCTAGCTGGGCTCTATAGACTCGGGTGATAATCGGTCTGGGAGAAGGTAATTCTACATTCAAAATCAGCCACGAGATGGTTGGTCTCCGTCAGGCTATATGGCACAAGTAACACAATTTCTACAACGGCTGCAGTACATGTGATGCCCCTACGAGCCTGATGGGTCAAAGGATTCGCAGTTTGATTCGATAGTGCAGATACTTTTGGATGATATTCTATTAGTTTTGAGATGGAAATATCTTCATTTTTCTATTACTATTCTTGATTGTACATTTAGAGACAACCGATTTATGTTTGAGTATAAAACTGTTCAGAAATGAAGAAAATATTGTTGCTTCCTGACCCTAACAAATATATACATAAAATAAAATTGCATAAAATAATTTAAAATACTTGCTTAAAATAAGAATAACAGCAACAACATTAACTTAATTGATTTTAATATGGCATAAACAACGTCTCTTAGGGCATTCATCGATTAATTACCTTCAAGCGGGTAAGAAATTAGAATATTTTAGAGCCTTCTGAAATCCCCAAAAGGAATTGAGCGCTTAACGTTATTTTTCTATGCGTCATTCACTTAAGTAAATACAGGTAATTAAATAGAAATTCCTCAGGTTGCCTAAAGGGCCTAAAGGGACGTATCATAGGTATACAAAGTTTCCCTCATGGTATATATATATATATATATATATATATATATATATATATATATATATATATATGTGTGTGTGTGTGTGTGTGTGTGTTGTGGATGTGAGATATATTTTTGTATATACAAAACTGCAGGTATATATATATATATATATATATATATATATATATATATATATATATATATATATATATATAAATAGATAGATATTTGTTTGTGTGATTATGTGGGTGTGCCGAAAAAGAAATAAAGAGGGAGAAAATATATACAAAAATTAATTAATACATATTATATATATATATATATATATATATATATATATATATATATATATATATATATATATATATATATATATATATATATATATATATATATATATATATATATATATATATATATATATATATATATATATATATATATATATATATATATATATATATATATATATATATATATATATATATATATATTACTATCTATATTTCTCATGTTGTCTCACTGTGTGCCTGTCGTGGGCGTTGTTACCTCGCCCAGGCCGCATTTCTCACCCGATTTCGATGCGGTTTTCAACACAAGTTTGCAAATGGCTGCCGTAAGGACATGACGGAGCCCGATTTTTGAATGCGGATTCAGGTTTCGGAAAAATCGATAAACGAAAAAATCGATAATCGAAAAAATCTGCTTACAGAAGGAATGATCGCATTTCAACCAAATTTTCAAACTCTTACAATCTATCACGGACCACTAAACAGCGTGAAAAATTGATAAAACCCCAAAACCGATACGCCAAGATTGTGTCTACACCGCATGTCGGTTTTTAGCGGATTTATGAGGAAGCCACAGGGAGTCACCATGTGAAGTTTCAACACTGAGCGCACCCCCAAAAGTGTGCAAATCGACAATTGGTTAACGCTTAAAAATGTTTTTCCAGTGTGGATTTTCCTAAATGCAGATCAATTTAAGGTCACGCTATACGCAGGAAGAAACAGGTTTGTGTGTGCAGTGGAGTAGAAGAAAACTTTTGACCTCAGATTCTGGAATGGGTGCAGGGCCATTGAAATTCGGCTTTTTTTATCCCTGCAAAAAGGTCTGAAATTGAGCCACAAATGACATATTCGCTGAGTGAAAATGGTTCCGCCCTCAGCAGTCCATATTCCAATTCTTTAAACCTTTTCCCCGAGCCCAGGGCGCATGCCAGACCTGACGAGGAGTTTTTGCACTAAAACAGAAGGGCTTCCTCCCAATCCATCTCAGAGCTAATGCCGGCAAATGGTTAGCGGCTTTTCGTTGTCACACAAACCAAACGAGCGATTGCAGCTCCTTGCATTTTCATCGCCGGCATCACGTGCGTTAGAGCCACGCTGCATATGCAGCAGCCAGCTTGACCCCGTTTACGGCCTAGCCTTGCGCTTGCCAAATCATGCACGCGTGCGTGAATGCGCGCTAGCATCTTCCATTTTGCGTGAGCTCATTCATTGGACTAAGTCATGACAATTGTCCAGGATACACGAATCAATGACAAGTCACGCCCCTTTTAAATCCCTTCAGCGCGGCTGCATCGACACTCACGTCTTGAGTTGATCGCCATTAAAGCATCGGTCCTTGGATTAATTGACAGCTTCCTGCTACCGCAAGTTACCTATTTCCTGAAACGTTTGCATTACCCATTTTATCTCCGCGTGCTGCCTCTACTGCGCAGCTCAGTCCATCTTAGCGTTCTATACCTATTTCTACCTTTTCGTAGTTCAGTTTTGCTATTAGACAGTTAGCTGCTGTCGCAAGTTACTTATTTACTCAATCGTTTGCCCAAGCTATATTACCTCCACTTTAGAGTTTTCACTGTAAGTTGAAGTGTACTGCCTTTACTACCCAGCACAGTACACCTCAGTACTTAACTGCCTATTTGCTTAAACGTTTGCATTACCCATTTTATCTCCACGTGCTTCCTTTACTGCGCAGTCCACTCCATCTTAGCCTTCCATACCTATTTCTACCTGTTAGTAGTTCAGTTTGGCTATTAGACAGTTAATGGTTGTGGCAAGTTACTTCTCTTCTGCCTTTACTACGCGGCTCAGTAAACCTCAATGTTTCACTACTTTTTAACCTTCAACGCTTCAACGTTTTGGTTGCGTAACCTCTTCCTACAGCGATGTTTTCGTGCTGCCAGAAAGTACGGTCCATTTCTAGGAGAAGCTTTTTTCCATACCGCTCCACTGCATTTTTAGTTTTCCTATACAAGGAGGTTGCACCGTTTCAGTTTCGGCATCAACTTCTATTCGAATTCTTACACATCATTTCTACAAGCCTTTGTGACGTCGCCCCCCCTGGTCGCAGCGTCGACTGTATCGTTCGATCTCGTTCGCGGCACCAGTTGTGACGTCACGTGCTCTCCAGGCTCTGATATCCTGGTCACGGACAGCACCAGTTGTGACGTCTTTGCCGCGGCGTCAGCTGTTCGCTCCTCGCTGCTCCAAGTGTGACGTTCTAACCCTTTGGTGAGATGAATACCAGCCTCGTCGTTCCCAACTCGCTTCCAACGCCTGGTTACTAGGGTAACTGTACTGATCTCCGGTCTACCTACACACGTTGTGATTAGATCTTAGACAGATGGGATCAAACAGGGATTGGGGCCATAAGCAAGCCAAGTTCAACGGTGGTGATAACACACAAGAAAAAGAAAGACTCACGAGGTCAAAAATTATTGAAAAAAAAGGGTAACAACCTTTTATATCTAAATGTTCGTTACACAAAATTGTTCCTACCTCCCGACCCGTTTTGTCGACTGTGGCACCAAGCTTCTACCATACAACTTTAAGACTTCGAGTTGCTTGTTCTCTAGAAACTTGCATGTCGGGGTGTGGTTTGGTTTCGACACTGGGCGCCGATCTCTACCTGTCGTTCACGGCTGATTTCCCTCGCCGTCAGTGCGCGAATCAACTTCTTCTCTTCTGCTTCGGTTGGATGAGTTTATTCACTTCGACTTGAGTTAGGCGAATTTCTTTACTTCGACTTGGGTTGGACGAATTTCTATTCTTAGGCTTGGTTTGGACGAATTTATTCACTTCGACTTGTCTTGGACGAATTTCTCTTCATAGGCTTGGTGTGATTCCAACTTCTCCTAGGCGTAACTGCAAGTTAACTTCTTCTTCGTCCGAGGCGCAAACCCAACTCCAACTGCAACTTCTCTGCCTGTCCGTCCGGCCTGCAACTCTTCTGCCTGTCCGGCCTGCAACTGTCTCGCCGTCCGCACTGCAACTGTCTCGCCGTCCGCACTGCAACTGTCTCGCCGTCCGCCATGCCACTCTTCTGCCTGTCCGGCCTGCAACTGTCTCGCCGTCCGCCCTGCAACTCTTCTGCCTGTCCGGCCTGCAACTGATTTCTGTCGATTGGGGTCATGCTTTTATTGACGCCGTAACAAACTGGGGTGGGTCTGTCGGCGCCAGGGTTTTCTTGATAATTCCAAAAGTCGCATTATTTCTGATTTCCCATTATCGCTATTACTTTCACTCCTACTTCCTTACAGTGTCTCTGGGGGGAGGCGCATACCCGCTTCCCCTGGTCCCTCGTATGTCAGGTGGCCGCTCTCGACCAATGGGGTCCTGGTCGGGCATCTTTCCTCCTCCCTCGCACATCACGTGACCGCTCTCGGCCAATGAGACTCTGGTCGGGTGTCTCTCCTCCTCCCTCATGTATCATGTGACTGCCCTCGGCTAATGAGTTATCTTCCCTCCTTCCTTCGTGACGTCTCTAATCGGGCGTGTACAATCCGGGGCTTTGTTCTGGGGAAGACACACCTTGCCAAAAAAACAAAATTTAAATTGTCCTTTTCGCACACGCGGTATTTGTCAAAACAGCCGGCCGCTAATTAGATGCGACTTAAGGAAAGAATTTTTCCGACCTGTCGGCGTCTTCCGAGAGCTAAAACAAATATTTCACCTCTTTCTTTCGCTCGGGGGCTGTTAACAAAATCTTAATTATCTAAATTGAAAATATCACTCATCATCTTGGGTGGTTTTTATCTTCAACCCTAGAAATGGTCAGGGTTCGTGTATTAATGTTTTGTTTTCGTATACATTTCCCCAGCGGTTACTTATCATCTCAATGACACCCCTTTTCGTTCGTTACCTATTAATATTTTTTCATTGTCCCTAAAATCTTATTTCTTCAACCAAATTGATAACAAACTCCCATACTCCGCGGACACGAAAGTAGGTCAGGTGCTTGACCGACATCTGTTATGCATCAATCGCGCGTGTGCCCATTCGCTCACGACCCCGTCTCGTATCATGTTCCTGTCTTTCCCTTTCTTTCTTTTTATTATTTCTAAACTCTATTTCTTCAACCAATTATAACAATTTCTATTTTTCGTGGATTTCGGTCAGGTACTTTGACCTAGATATCTTTTGACACCTGTTTTGTGTCAGTTTAAGCGTGTTTTGCTTATGACCGGGTTTTGTACTATCTATTTCTCTTTCTCTTTCTTTTTTTCTTTCCCTTTCTTTCTTTCGGATCGCCTAAATGTTATTAGAAAATTATTCTCAAAACTCAATTATTCTTCATCTCTAAATAACTATCAACTGGTTAACAAACCGAATAAAAATAAATCATATATTTATGAATATCTCTTTTCAGTTTTCTAATAATGCAGGGTGCCACACTTCAAATAGTGCCTACACAACGAACATCCGCACGTGAGCAACTGAAGACCCCTAATACCGTTAACATTACACATGCAGAACAGGCGACTGCGTAGGAGCAATAATAACTCCGGTTACAGATGATCATATAGCGTCTAGGTCAACTTCTGCTTTGCACTCTTCTGCGTGCCGTGGTGATGACCAACCGGGCAGCTCTGCAAAAACACCCAGGCGAGGCAACTTTAGCAGGCGTTCTAAAAAAGCCTCGCCGGCTAAGGGGAAACGGGAGTAGGATTCCACTGAGTGCGCCTCCTTGGAGGAGAAGCGGCTGGCGTCTTCTTCAACCTCTGCTTTGCACTATTCTGAGTGTCGTGGCGATGACAGACCCGCCAGCTTTGTTAAGCGTGCCAAAATTCCATGGCGAGGCAACCTTAGCAGGCGTTCTAAAAGAGCCTCGGCGGCAAAGAGAAACGGGAGGAGAAAACCGAGGTAGAGGCCTCTTTGAGGTTTTCCAGTCAATCTCAACGTAGGCAATATGTTTTGTCACATGACACGATTGGTGAACGTAACTTCAGTTTGTACTGCAAATATGTTTACACATATTCGTTGAAAAGAAGAAACTACCTAAACGCTTGCATGACAACTAAAAAGCGGCTTCATAACAAGTGATTTTGCGGTCTCCACAGAACCTGCATCGAAAAGCTCCTCACAATGCAGTCAAAGCCCAGGAGATCACGGCTGAGAAAACCGCAAGTAACGCAGCGAAAGCTGCGGCAACGTCCATTCGTCGGTCCCAGGAATCCATGGCTGAGAAAACCGCACGCCATGCAGACGACACCACTGCAACTTCTGCTGCAAGGTCATCGGAAAGTTCCGCGCAAAAGCGCAAAAGACGGCAACGCGATGCAATTTCAACGTACGCTGCTACAGCTGTAGAAGGACCAACTGAATGGCTTAAAAGGTTGCAAACTCTTAATTAGCGCCGCCATGCACAGCATTCAACTATGAGACAGTTTCGAGGCTTTCCGGTCACAAAGACCTCCAAATAGGACCCATGTCAGTTGTCTGTGGGCATTGCAATCCCCAAAAATGGCCTGGAGAGTCTGCAGGTTTGTGTTGTTCAGACGGTAAGGTACAGTTGCCAACTTTTCAAGATCTACCTGCTCCGATGAAAGCTCTGTTGGAGACCCTCAAAAATCAGACAGTTCAATTATGCCTTCCAGATGACCTCTTTTGGTGGTAATATGCCTTCCGCGAAGTCGGTTGGAATCCCACCTTCAATGTTCAAGGTCAGGTTTACCACCGGACTGTCTCTTTTGCCGGAAACTGCCACTGATTCGGCCTTTCTGCAAATATACTTCATAGCTGACTACAATCAACAGGCAGATGCCCGCATGGGCATTATTCCCGAGAACGATACATGCCAGGACAATCACTCTCGCAAAGAATATCATAATGAGTCTCCAACAATTGCTCCACGAGACAAACAGTTATGTCCGCAGTTTTAAGTATGCTCTCGAAAATAACTTCTTCAGATTTCATTATTTTAATTGATGCTGACAAACGGTATCACGGAGAGCAGGAACGTCGTCACCACGCTCCGGCAAATAACGAAGTTTCTGTCATTCTCAGCGATGATAAGCACAACAGACGTGACATTGTTCTCGAATCGCGCGGCAGTGGGCTCCGAAGAATCAGTGAAACGCAACGGTCCTACGATGCACTGCAATACCCACTTCTCTTCACTTACGGAGAAGATGGGTACCACTTTGGCATTCTGTAAAATGAGTCCACCTTAAAAACAGTGTCTTGCAGGGCTTTCTACGCCTACCTGTTGATGGTACATGAGGGCGCATTCAATTATCTTCATCGAAGCCGGCAACTTTTCCATCAATTCATAGTAGACATGGCTGCTAAGATGGAATCCAAAAGATTCTGTTACATCAGATTGAATCAGACCAAGTTGCGCTGCGGATCTTACTTTCACCTCCGTGATACTTTACGAAATGACGCTGATCCACGCAATGTAGGCAAGATGTGCATACTACCTGCAACGTTCAGAAGAAGTCCACGATATATGCACGCGAGGAAGCAAGACACAATTACATACGTTCGTAAGTACGGCCGACCAGACCTATTCATAACTTTCACGTGTTACACAAAATTGTACGCAATTGCTAAAGAACTTATGCCAGGGCAATCGGCCTACGACCGTCCAGACCTCATTGCGCGCGTTTACCATCTGAAGTTGGGAATGCTAATGGATAAGATTACAAAGGACCAGGTTTTGGGGCTGTTTGTTTTCGCATGCACACTATTGAGTAGCAGAAACGCGGCCTGCCTCACGCACATATACTAAGTTGGCTGTGCGACAAGACTGAGGCCATAGAAATCGATCATCTTATTTCTGCAGAAATTCCTGATCCGTCGGCTGACCCTGAATTGTATAAAATAGCGACAACCAACATGATTCATGGTCCCTGCGAATCTAATTACAATTGCACCAGCTCACAACAGCGACGGCAAAGGCACACGACATTACCCACGAGATTTCGTGAGCGAAATCATTACAGGGATCGATGGTTATCCACTGTACCGGCGAAGGAGTCCCGCTGGGGGAGTATTTACAGACGTGGTAAAGGGCCACCAATTGGATAAAAGATGGGTAGTACCATACTGTCCCCTGCTAGCAAAAGCGGTCAATGCGCACATCAATGTCGAATATTTACATTCAGTTCGATCCATCAAGTATGTATGCAAGTACAACAACAAAGGGACTGATGCTGCAATGTTTGGTATTGGGCAGGAAGCTTCCGTAGACGAAATCCAGGACTTCATTGCAGGGCGCATCACATATTCAGCTTCCCTATCCATGAACGCCTCCCAGCAATCGTCCAGCTTGCTGTGCAACTTGAAAACGACAAACTTCGTTATTTTTCTGCGGATACAGCAATGGATGTGGCTGCACGTACCACAGACACAACGCTTACAGCGTTCTTCAAACTTTGGCGTCAGGACGAGTTTGCTAGGACTCTACTGTACCCAGACGTGCCTTCGTACTACGTGTGGAGAAAAAAGAACACCTGGGCTCGGCGGAAGTGCGAGGCCAACATCGAGGGCTATCCAGGCGTCAAAACAAACACCAGACTGAGACGGGTATTCACGGTTCCCCCATCGCGACAAGAATGTTTTTATTAGAGAGACTTTTTGCACGAAGTTAGTGGTCCAACGGGCTACAATAACTTTCAGGCGGTTAATGGAGTTTTATGTGACACTTTTCGTAAGGCCCGCCTCCGTCTCTGACTTTTGAAGGCGACAGCCAGTAGGATGCCAAAATGGCTGCGGGAGCTCTTTTAAAATTGCCCTCTGCTTTGCGCCACCTCTTCACCACAATCTTAGAAATGTGCGAACCAAGTGATCCCAAATCACTTTGGGACAATACAAGACCTATTTGTCTGAAGATATACTCAGAGAAGCGCAACTGCTGTGTCCAAAAATGGCTCTTACATTCAACGATGAAATTTACAACAGTGCGTTTATAATCATTGAGAACCTGTTTGTTGAAATGGCGTGGGATCTCTCGCCGCTATTGGGCTTGAAACACCAGATCGTGTGGCTTCCTCCAGTCTCTCAACTGAGGTTGTGCGGGAGACATCCTACTCTGTTGAGGAGCTCAATTACTCTGTCAAAACTAATGGGCCAAAATTTCTCATAGACCAAAGGGCCGCTTACGGTGCAGTAATTGCATTCACCAGGCAGGATACAGGATCAATTTTCTTCCAAAACGCGCCTCGGGGAAAGGGGAAAACGTTCGTAACAAAATGCTTCTTGCAGAAATTCGGCGCCATGGCAAAGTGGTGCTAGCAGTAGCGACTTCAGGCATTGCTACCACATTACTGCCGGGTGGCCGGACAGTGCATTCAACGTTTAAACTTTCGCTTGACCTGATTAAGGCAGAAAGTGCTGTATGCAGTATAGCCAAGCAATAAGGTCTAGCGGAAATACTCAGGTGATGGAAGCTCATCGTCTGGGATGAGTGCATTGTCAGTCCCAAAAGTGCACTCGAGGCTGTAAACCGCTCTCTGAAGGATATTCGAAACTCCTATGACATTATGGGAGGTATAACTGTCCTTCTATCCGCTGACTTTTGCCAGACCCTTCACGTTCTACTTAAGAGAACAGGGCCGATGCTTTTCGGGCGTGCTTGAAATCGTCACAACTTGGCCCATCTTTTAGACCATTGCGCCTTAATGCGTGCACAACTTAGTTGGCGATGTTGGGTCAACCGAAATTTCGAATTCATTATTAGCCCTTGGCGAAGGTATTATTCCAGCGGACTCTAATGGATTTGTAAACGTCCAAGTGGTCACAACGCCAGCAACACTCAGGGAATAAGTTTTCCTGATCTTCAAACCAACTTCAACAATACTGAGTGGCTTTCTGGGCGGGCAGTTCTTGCACCCAAAAACACCACTGTGACAACCCTTAATAGACAGCTTCTGGAAACTGTGACAGGCGTGCTGCACGTATACAAATCCATTGACAGAACTCCAGACCCCACTGAATTGGCGAAAATTCCAGTGGAGTTCTTAAAAAGCCTCCACCCCGCTGGTCTCCCTGCTCACATTCTGGAACTTAAAGTAGGGCTCCAGGTTATGTTGTTTAGAACCTGCGTCCACCGAAACTCTGTAATGGGACCAGGATATTTATTCAGGCCCTACACCCAAACATTATTTTTGCGGAACAGATTTAATGTTTAGTATACAGCTTAGAAAAAAATCGCAGTGTGAGGTAGGCAAGAAGTAAGGCATGTAGCAACATCATCACGGCAAAGAGCACTACTTTAAAGGCAAGGAAGGGCAAAAATATTTTATGTCAAATGATAGCGATTGCTCCATGAGTCGTACGATTTTTGAATCAAGCAGGGGCAACGCCGGGCCATGCTGCCAGTATATATATATATATATATATTGTCATCGGTCCTTACCTATAACTACAGAATGAACTCTTCCTAACACTATGTTTCCTACGCCTGTCAAGAGAGAGGGTCGAATCTAACCGAGCTTCATGACTTGAGGGCCGAACTCTCTGCCTCTGAGCAGAGAGGAACCCGGACGAGGCTCCGCCGAAGGGCAGAGTCTCGTTCGGGGAAATTGACCAACCCGATCCCTTTTGTACCGATTCTACGTGTATTTTTTGGCGGAGCGTACGGGATCGGGAAACCCACGTTAAAGTCGGCCTTGTGCCACATGAAACCCTCGTGGGGGGTTGGCTAAATATCGAATCAAGCCTAGCTTGTGGGCTTGACGGCCGAACTCTCTGCCTCTGAGCAGAGAGGAACACGGACGACGCTCCGCCGAAGGGCAGAGTTTCGTTCGGGGAGGTTGACTAACTCGATTCTGTTTTTACAGTTCCTACGGGCATTTTCTGGCCGAGCCTACTCACTCGGTAAACCCACGTTAAACTCGGCCTTGTGTCCTATGCAACCCTCGTGGGTGGGTGGGTGGCTAGATACCGAATCGAGCTGTGCTTCTCGGCTTGACGGTTGAACTTTCTGCCTCTGAGCGGAGAGTAACCCGGTCGAGGCACAACCGATATCAAATTCTCTAAAATAATTTGTTTTATTCTAAAGCAATATAGAATACATCAATCTCATAAACTCATTACTTGCTGTCCTTGTCACCAAATATCTAACTGGCAAAGTTATTTCAATAATTATTGTTAATATTGTGTTGATTTTACGATATATTAAGCTTTGATTCTTTTGCCATACAAGGTCACCTAAAGTTTAATGTATTTGAGTCTTTCGGTAAACATATAGGCTTTATATTTGGGTACGACTTAGTTCATTTAAAACGGTTACCATCAGTCTCGATTTTTTAATCTCTATATATCTTTACAGTAAATGCCGTCGACGTCATCTCTGCAGCACAATATCATTAATAGAAACTCTATCATCGATATATAAACTATGTACAACGGTATAGTTGATGTACATTTTAGCATTGGAAGTTTATGGAAACCTTCATCCTATCCACTTGTTCTCCATCGCTAAACAAAATTTGGTGCGATTGTTTTAAATGACACAGTCGTATTTATGTTGACTGGCAAAAATCCAACAACGGGCTTACTTCGAAATTTTTGTGAAACTGCATAAATTTGATGCAGGAAAACTCGAAACGATTCGTATGACTTTTCGCGAATGTATTTTATAACGAACATCTGTTTGCAATGTCATTCCAATGGCGATCTTATGCGGTTAAGAAAGCTAAAAACATTAGGAAACTAGTGAATGCTGAAAATCTCTTCAGAGAAATTCTGAAATATTCAATGTAGCCAATTGTTGAGGAATTCGCAGTACACAATTTAGTTTTTATATTTTAGATATTGTACATATTGGGTTTATTTTGTGGGAATTAAAATGGTATCAGATATTTCTATGTATACAATTTACAGAAATGGTTTTGTTTTAAAAAATATGACGCATTAATATCTATCTCTCTCTCTCTCTCTCTATATATATATATATATATATATATATATATATATATATATATATATATATATATATATATATATATATATATATATATATATATGACACACACGTCCATATGCACACACCGGCCATATGCACACACAGATATACCCGACTACAAATATGTGTACATATATGTACATAGGTATTACCAATCAACTGTCTGAAATTTCTCTCTCAATGATGCTCCCTCACTCTCTTGTGTGTGTATATATATATATATATATATATATATATATATATAT